CCCACATCCTCTCTAACATTTGGTATCATTTGTTTTCTTGATCTTGGCCCGGATGACAGGGGTATGATGAAATCTTAAAGTGGTTTGAATTTGCATTTCCCTAATTACTAGTGATGTTGAATACCTTTTAAGATGCTTCTTAGCCATCCTTATTTCTTCTTTTGAGAACTCTGTTCAGTTCCTTAGCCCATCTTTTAATTGGGTTACTTCCTTTCTTGATATTTTGTTTTTGAGTTTGTTCTATATTCTGATGTTAAACCTCTGTCAGATGTGTCGCTGGTGAAGATTTTCTCCCATCCTGTGGGCTTTCTTTTCACTTCCTTGGTTGCTTTTTTTTGGCATGTATATTGTATTACAATAAATATTTGGGGGGAGAAAATGGGGATAGGATTTGATAGTCATTTCTACAAAGAAGTTATACAAACGGCCAGTAGGCACATAGACAGATGTGATGTCCAACATCAGTAGGCATTAGAGAAATGTATGTCAAAGTCACAATGAGAAAGCATTTCATAGTGGCTGAAATGGCACAGTCAGTGCACAGGATCTTGCCCACCTCTTTCTTGATGTTTTTACTGTTAGGGTTGACCAGAGCAAAGGCTGTCTTAAAAACTAAGGGCTGTTCTGTGCTTCTTTTGATGTACAGAAGCTTTTTAGTTTAATGACGTCCCATTTGTTGATTCTTGACCTTGTTTCCTGAGCAATTGATGTTCAGTTTAGAAAGTCCTTTCCTACACCTGTATCTTGTAGGTTATTACCAATGTTTTCGTCTAACAGTTTCAGAGTTTCAGGCTTCATGTTGAGGTCTTTGATCCATTTGGAGTTGACTTTTGTGCAAGGTGAAAGACAGGGGTTTAGTTTCATTCTTCTACAGGTGGAGATCCAGTTTTGCCAGCACTACTTGCTGAGCATGCTTTCTTTCCTCCAGTGAATGTTCTTGGCCCCTTTGTCAATTATCAGTGGCTGAAATTGCATGTACTCACATTTGGGTCTTCAATTTTTTTCCCATTAATCTATGGGTCTATTTTTGTGCCAGTACCATGTTGTTTTTTATGACTATAGCTCTGTAATACAGTTTGAAATCTGGTGTAGTATCCCTACCCCCAGCATTGTTTTTAGTGCCCAGGGTTACTTTGGCTATCCGAGGTCTTTTGTGCTTCCATATGAATCTGAGGATTTTTTTTTTTTTCCAATTCTGTGAAAAATGTCATGGGGATTTTGATTGGCATTGCATTGACTCTATAAATGGCCATTGATAGGATGGTCATTTTCACAATATTAATTCTTCCAAGCCATGAGCATAGGAGGGCCTTCCATCTTCAGGCATCTTCCTTTATCTCTTTCTTTAAAGATTTAAAATTTTCATATTGTA